AAAAGACCTCAAGCAGCACTAGGTTTACAATAGAACTCAAAGCAGTTGCTGACAATCAGCCTATAAACCCAGTGCTGCATATTAAGATTTTTCTAAGTTTAAATTCAAGGGATGGATGGATTGATTGATGAGAAAAAGAGAACGGGGTGGGGGGAAGCAGAGGGAAAACCTAAGCAGGCTACAGCCCAGTGCGGAGCCCCACATGGGGCTCGATCTCACAACTCTGAGATTATGACCTGAGACGAAATTAAGAGTTGGACACTCAACCAACAGAGTCACCCAGGCATCCCTCAAATTTTTTTCCAATTTGCATCTGTTGAGATAACTATATTTTTATCCTTTTATAAAAATTAACATGGCAAATTACATTGATTTCTCAAATATCAAATCATATTTGCATAAATGGAGAATTAACCTCACTTTGTAGTGATGCATTATCTTTTGTATCTATTGAAAATCCCTTTCCTATATATTGTGATGTTCTTGTCAGGTTTTTGGTATCAAGGTTAGGGTGGACTTAGTTTAGCAGTATTTTATTTTTTAATTTACTGGAAGCATTTGTATAAAATTGAGGTAATTTCTTCCTTAACTGTTTCAAAGAATTTACTGGAAAGTTCTATATTTTCTTTGTGGAAGGGCTTTTAGCAATTGATTCAATTTCTACTCAAAGAAGAAACTCTTCAGATTTTCCATTTATTTTGTCAGTTTAATTTTTTGAGGAATTTGTCCTTATTCAAATTTTCAAATTGATGTTGTTTATCATCACATCTTTTCACTATTTGTAGAGTCTCCAGTGATACTATATTTTTCATTCCTGGTGTTACTTTTTTATTGCCGTCTTACTGGAGGTAAGTCAATTTTCTTAAACTTTTCAGAGAACCAGCATTTAGCTTGTTTTTCTTTAGCTTCGTTTTCTATTTCACTGATTTCTAAACTTCATTGTTTCCTTCTTTCTACATTGTTTTACTCTTCTTGCTTCTCAAAATGAAGTGTAAATGATTTCAGCCTTTCAACTCCTATAGTAAATGTAGTCAGGGCTGTACATTTCTCTTTGAGCATTGCGTCAGCCCATTTCTAATATGGCACATCTTCAATATCAGTCACCTTAAAATGTTTTCCAACGCCTATTTCTTCTTCAACCATGGATTGTTTAGAAGTGTGCTCTGTTTAATTTGAAGGCATTTGAGGATTTTTCTAGTGATCTGTTGTTACTGATTTCTAGCATGATTTCTCTGAAGTCAGTGCATATTTTGAATTATTTCCGTCCTCTGAAATGTTTTGGAGCCTTCTTTATGGTCTGCTTGTCAGTTTTGGTAAATTTTAAATACAGGCTCACGTGAAATACGAATTGTCATTGTTGATGGTATTCATATCAGCTAGGTCGAATTTGTTAACTGTATCCCCCAGATCCATATTTTTACTACTTTCGTCTGTTCAGAGGTATGTTAAAGCAACCCTCAAGGACTGTGGATTGTTCTTTTCCCTTTTGTCTAGTTTTACCTCATACATTTGAGACAGTGTTATCATAATTGTGAAATCTTCTTTGTAAAGTGACTTGCCATCTCAGAATACCCTACATCTTCAGTAACGCTTCCTGACTTCGGTTGGTTTCACCTGACATTAGTCTAGCTATGCCAGTTTTTTCATTAGCAGTTGCCTGTTTTATCTTTTGCCATCCTTTTTACTTTCTGTGCACCTGTACTTCGGATGTGCCTCTTGCAGATCAGGTGTACATGGGCTTTGTTCGCTTTCCCAGTTGGACGTTAGCTTATTACTTGAAGTAGTTGATCCATTTTCATTTAATGTAGTCACTGACTTAGGTGATTTGGTATCTACCATCCTACTACTTGTTTTCTATTTGACCCATTGTTTCATTTACCTCTTTTAATTCTATCCTATCTTCTTCTGGATTACCCAACTATTTCATTTTGTTCTCCTTTTACTCTTTTTGATATTACAACACATATCTGGGTTACATTTAATACAAATTATTGTATTTACCCCTTCCTTGATAATACTAGAACTTTGTAATTCTGTATTTTTCACCTTTTCCACTATTGTTATCACGTATTCTAATGCTACATGAATTTTTTCTTTTTAAGATTTTACTTGAGAGAGTGCGAGCACACAAATGGGGGGGGGGGTGGAGCAGAGGGAGAAGCAGACTCCCTGCCGAGAGGGAGCTCTTGGGATGTGACCTGAGCCAAAGCAGCCGCTTAACCAACTGAGCCAGCCAGGTGCCCCTCTGCATAAATTTTAAACTTCACATTACTAGTATTGTTTTGTGACAATCAATATTCATTTATATTCACTTTTTGTAAAGGTCTTCATTCTTTCCATTTGTTTCTATTTGGGATCTCTTTCCTTCTGACTAAAGACCTCTCTACAGAATTTTGATTAATGCAGTCCTACTAGTAACTGATTCTTTTTTTGTCAAAACTACCTCCATTTTTTATTTATATTTATAGAGGGTATTTTTACTCTACATAGAACTTTCGGTTGACTTCCCCCCCACCGCCGGAACTTTAAAGAGGTCTTTAATGATGTCTCTAATGAGGATAAAATGTTTCCTTGCTTACACTGGTAACAGTGGCATAATGAAAATACTAGAGTTGCTTAATGCAGTGATTTTAGGTTTTGCAGCACCCAGAAACATCTCCTTCACTTTAAATTCAAGGTCATAGAATTACGATCAGAGCTTGAAGACTTTACAGACCATCTAGCCCAACTTTCTCCCTTAATAATAACAATCCTTGTAGGAGGCTAGTTTCTGCTTTAAGCACTTTCCCAGTTTGAGGAATTCACCGAATCACAAGATCATGCATTCCATTTATAAACAGTTTTAATCATAAATGGTTTCCTTAGAGAGTACTGAAACAAAATCTGCTTGTTTTACTCTCAGTCATGGGACCTCATTCTGCCTAACAGAGCAAGTAAAATGTTTTTAACTTCAACCCTTTTTCACTTCTATCTGAAAAGAACTATTATGTCCCTGGCTTCCAGGTGAAGCATCACTTTCTCTACCCTGCCAACTCCACCCTCAACCTTCACCAACTCCACATCACAATGGGTCACTAATCCCTGTCAATTATGTGCCTAAAAATAAATCAGAATTAGGTCAGCGGCTTGATTTAGGGCCTATTTCTCACCTGGATTGCTGACTCTCCCTGATTACCAAGCTGGGAGATCTCACGCAAACCATAGTCTGTATATGCTTAAATTCCTCAATAGTTCTCCATTACAGCACCATTTTCCAAGCTATTCTTTTGGAATTGAGAGAGAGAGAGTGTGTGTGTGTGTGGGGGGGGGTAGAATTGTTTATTCCATCAACTGCTCTATTATTCTCTCATTATCAGCAAAGTTTAAACTACAAAACTCACCGCAACCCAGAAAAACCTTAGCAATGTTAGATGCAATGGTTTTAATGAAATGAATAAAGTTTAATGCACACATACACTAAGAATGACCTTGGAGTTGGAATATAACCCAGAACTTCAGTATCCTAGCAACTAGTAAGAAAAACTATAGCCTGAAAATATATTACTTACCACAGCCTCTGGCCTAAAAAATGAAGATAAAATAATTTAGAAATGACAGAACTTACAATAAAAATACCTGAGTTCAAGTCTTAGCACCCTTTCTTATTAGCTCTGTAACATATAGTAAGTCATTTAATCTCTTTGAAGTCTATTTGCTTATCTGAAAAAGGCAGTTAGGAAAACTCACCTTGGCAATTTATTGCAGGAATACTTTACAGTAGTTAAAAAAAAAGGAAAAATATGTTTGCAGCTACATTTACATGGATTAATCTTAAAAAGATGATGAATGTAAGAAGCAAGCCACAAAGGAATCAAGGATGCCACTTGTAAAAGGTTAAAGAGACAGTCAAAATTAAATAATACAGACAGCAAATTTTTTAAGAGCCAGGAAATGATGAATATACAATTCAAGAGAGCGGTGCCTGGGGGGGCTCATTCAGTAAAGCACGAATGATCTTGGGGACCAGGGATTAAGTCCTCCCTTAGGCTCCCTGCTCAGCTAGTAGGAGTCCGCTTGTCTCTCTGCCCCTTTCCCTGCTTGTGCTTGCTAATAAATAAATAAAATACTTGAAAAGAAAAACTTAAAAGAAAAAAAAAAGAATTCAAGACAGAGATTACACCAGGGTGTGTGTGTGTTGGAGAAGGGGGAGAGGCAGTCATGTGATTAGAGAGGTGTGCTCTGGTGGCTCCTTAACATTCTGTGATGGGTTAGGGGTTAACGAGAGTTCATTTTATAGTCATCCTTTAAATAATACACATATACGATCCCAAGACCCTGAGATCACGACCTGAGCCAAAGGTAGATACTTAACCGACTGAGCCATCCCAGGGCCCCTATGATCCAATTTAAAACAAAAAATCATTTAAAACTGCCAGTGAATCTGAGTTAAATATGTATCTGCACTCGTAGGTGGAGATTCATAGGTTCACTGCTTTGTCCTGTACTGGATCACAGCGCAGTCTGATTTCACTGGCAACTCAATAGATGAACTCTTAGAACTTTGAAGAAAATAGCTGGATGCAGAGAAGTTTTTTCATTCATTGGAAGTGGATCTCAAAAAAGCAAATTTCTGGTGTAAAATGAAATGAGATACAGATCATTAATTTAGCAGGAAGCAATTACAATACGCCAGGCTCTGCGCCTCTAATGTAAATAAGATCTTACCATACTTGACCCACGTCCTGAGTTTTATCCCAGGGCCACATTCACTTACTGGTCAGCACTCCCTAGACAATGAAAAGGCCCCCTGGTCTATTCACATTTGTAACTCAAAAACATGGACAAAACAATCTCGTCCACTCTGTTCTCTGAGAAGTATGTTAGGGTAATTAAACTGATTGTAAAGACATTAAAATAACATGTAATATGGTTTAGCTATTACAGGAAGCATTAATGTCTAAAAATTACTTGTATTAGAGCTGAGACAAAAAAGAGACATTAAAATAATTTACAACTTTCTACAAGTTTAATAAATATATTCATTTATGTTTAAACATTTCTGACAAATATGTATTACCATTCATTTGCAAACTTTTCCTAGTGAATTTAATAAACAAATATTTAATAGTTGCTCATTATCAAAAGATCATGAATGTCCCTTCCCTCCTTTCTGGTTGGGTTGGAGGATTCAGTCAGATGACCAGAGCCCAGGATTGAATGGTGGGGTCAGGACTGACATCACTAGGGTCAAAGTTGAGCTGGCCTGGTCCTTGTTGTGGTTGAGGCTAGGGTTTCAACTGGCATATTAGGGAGTAGTGTTGTCAGCACAGTGCAGTGGTGGACTTATTTGACATATTTGGAGCTAGGTGGACCAATGCAGCTGCTGGCATTATCAGGAAGTTGGAATATAGAGAGAGTAAGCAAATAATATATTTAGAGTTATGGGAGCCAGATTTCTCACTATGAGAGAAAGGAATTACAAATATGTAAAGGGAAATACTAAATTAAACCCTGAAGTATTAAATTAAGATTGAAGGTATCAATATGAACCCAAAGTTTCCAACACATATGTATATACAGAAATACACATAGATGTATGTGTGTGTACACATATGTATTTTTTTTAAAGATTTTATTTATTTATACATGAGAGACATAGAGGCAGAGATACTGGCAGAGGGAGAAGCAGGGTCCTTGCAGGCAGCCCGACGCGGGACTCGATCCTGGGTCTCCGAGATCACACCCTGGGTCGAAGGCGGCGCCAAACCGCTGAGCCACCGGGCTGCCCACATATATATATTTTTTAAAGATTTTATTTGAGAGAGAGAGAGAGGTAGGGATCAGAGAGCAAGCTTGAACAAGAGGGAGGGGCAGAGGGAGAAGCAGACTCCCCATGGAGCAGTGAGTCTGATGTGGGGGTTGATCCCAGGGCCCTGGGATCATGACCTGAGCTAAAGACAGATGCTTAACCATCTGAGCCACCCAGGTGTCCCTAGACATGTATTTCTTTGATCTGCCCACCAATAAGGCTTTATTCAATGACTTATTCAAGTCAATCAATAACTTTTCAGTAGCAATGAGCACTTCTTATGTTGGTTTCCATATACTATTTTCCATTTAAAGGAGCTATGGATCCTTGGGAAAAGTACAAGGTAAGTTTGGGATACCTTATGCCAAAAAATAAGGAAGAGCTCAAAATATCAAAAGGACATAGAAGCAAGCTTGAATAGAGACTCCCATAGACCAAATGTGGGAAAAGTTCAGTATCAAAATACATGACAGACATATTTTACAACTTACTGAATATAGTAGGAATCCATTAGTACACACTGACATAAATGAATCAACAAATGAATGAAGGGACTGCTCTTCTTCACAGAGTATCAACCAAAGCATTAGCAATGATGAACTCACCATTTGGCAACCAGAATAGTGATAACTGATTCAGGTAACAGGTGTCAATGGACTCAAAGTTAAATGGTGACAATTTGATGAGAAATACAACATTTATATAGTCTCAAAGACTCTCCTCACAAAGTTTTTATTAATTTTAAAATAGTGAAAACTGATACTATCCTAACCAAGTGATCAATGTTAACATCACCAAGAACGGGACAATGTGACATTGTGTATCTCTAGGTATGATACAGTGAGAATAGAACATCATTCCTGACAAAAATATATATCCTGAATCTAATCACAAGGAACTCTAATCATTTTATTTAATCATTAGATAAACCCTGAGGGACATGCTACAAGTACCTTCCCTACAGTCTTAAAAAAATCAAGGCCATGAAAGAAAAGACTGAAAAAGTGTTCCAGATCAAAGACGACAACTTTTGATCTTGCATAGCGATGCTGGAGCAGAGAAAAGTACTGGGGCAATCAGCAAATCTGAATGCTCTCTGTGGATTAGATGTCCCATGTCAATGCTAATCTCCTGGTTTTTATCGTCACACTGTGACGACTGTGGTTATGTAGGAGTGGTTCTTTGTTTTAAGGAAATATCATTAAAGTATTTTTAGGGGTAACAGGGAATCATGTCTGCAATTTACTTTCAAATGGTTCAAAACTGGTTCAATATTGGATAAGACTACACTAAATTGAAAAAAAAAAGGAAGGTAAATGAAGATCTTTACAATATTGAGCCTTCCAATCCATACTTTTCATAGAACATACATTTTTTTTCCAAAATCTCCTTAAATACTTCTTGATATAGTCTAAAATTGCCTAATATTGATAGTCTAATATTGAGATCTTTCTAAAAACTTTTATTTTTTTATTAGTTGATGATATATAGGAATACAACTTTTGCATATTGTGAATGTGGCAACTTTCCTAAGCTCCAGATATTATTGAATTGTCTACATATATAATCACATCATCACATCAAAACAATTTCCTGCCTCTAGGAAAGAAAAACCCAGAGAATTATATTGACAATAACTTGCCATAAAAATATACATGGTTGCCATTTAAAGAGATTTTTATAGTTGTACAAATACTGTAAGTAATAATACAAGGTTAGCTGGGCATAATGTAACTATAGTATCATCTTTAAATTAAATCACCCAAGGAAGGGAGGTATGACTTCATTAGCTTCTGAAATCTCTGGACAAGTCCTTCACAGGGATCGTCTCTTCTTCATCTCTATATCAAAAAATGCATTGCCTGAAGTGCACTAAAAGTAATTTTAAATATTCATAGATTAAGTCCTCAGCATGTCAAACAAGCCTATCAAAGAAAGTCATGATCAACTCTTCACAAATGACTTCTTGCTAACTTGAACAAATGCTTCCCACAAACCTTTCTGGCAGCTCTTAAGAGTGCTCCCCACTACTGCCCTTTCCCTTAACTCATTTTCTTTCCATGTGTCATAAAACAATTTCCTAGGAAGAACTGCCACCATGTTACTAAGTAGATAGAGCAGGGCACAGTGTATGCCATGGGTACTCCAGAAATAGCAACATCTGCTCAGGAGTTACTTGATCAATGCCCCCTGGGAACTAGAAAGCACCTACAGACTGATGGATTAAGCTGGATGAGATGCCAGAGAGCCCTAAAGACAGAAAGGACCAAGCAGAATTCTCATTTGTGAGGTTTAACAGTGAGGGGAAACAGAGAGCCAACTGATCATATGATAGATTCGACTCAGTTTTCTCAATACATTAAAAGAAAATTGAAGGAGTTTAAAAGTACATTTTCAAAGTTTCAGTATGGGATGATGACAAAGTTCTGGTCATGGTTGCAGAACAATTTGAGAGTATACTTAATGCTACTGGACACCTAAGAATGGTTAAAATGGTAAATTTTATGTTACACATATTTTGCCACAATAAGATATTTAAAGGTGCATTTTCTATTGTTAATTACCTGATATTACCTAGTAATAACACAGGCATTAAGAATACTACTCATCGAAATCCAAAAGCCCTGTGTTTGAGACTTGACTTCAACTGTTAAACCTGTGGAAGCAAACCACATCATAACTAAGCCTTGGTTTCCTTATCTGTAACACAGGAATAGTAAAATACTTACCTATGTATTACAGGCTGCTGTGAACTTGAAATTAAATCATTTATGTAGGAATTTAGCAGAGTTCATGGCACCAAGAGAGGGTTCAAGAAATGTTGGCTCTTATTTTCCTTTTAGGTTTTCATAGTAATGCAATCCTTTTATATTCAGTACAATAAAGACTTAAAGCTCTAGCACAAAGGAGTTACTCTTTTCTCCCCAGTCCTAATTTCATATACAGCTATATAGCAACTTCCCACAAAATGCATTCCATGTTATAGTCAAGGGATGTATGAGCCCAAGTGTTACCACTAGCCAGTCTCAAAGTCTCATACTCTAAGAGGCAATAATCTCAGAGAAGCCACAAGAACTTGAAATAATTTAACAGGTTATTATATATATAATATATATTTTTATCAAGTATAACATGGTCATATAAAAGTATTTACTACAAATAGAATTCACACATAGAAAAAGAGGCTATTTTAATTTTTCTGTCCCTTTTATATCCTATTTTAGGCAAAATGATGAAACCCAGAAAATCACAGAACTGTACTAGTTCTAAAAACTGGGACTTTTATAAATGAAATATATCCATCCAATCATCTACATCTTCTCTCAAATTCCAAACAATGATGCTTATCGAACTATACCCTTAGAATCAACTTAAATAAATCTTTGCATGATTTGGATGAAACATACATTGTCAATGGTTAAAAATCCAGGTAGAAAAAGTACATATAATTACTTAAAAGTGAAAACATTTCATACCAAAGGAGTGGTTTAAAAAAAAAACCCAGACAATATGAAGAGGAAATGCACTTGAATCTTAAAACATTTTTGGATCATTATATAAAATACCCAAAAGTTCAGAACTGTTAAACAACAGTAGTTTATGTAGAACAAAGCCAAGAGGTGAAAAAAATATTGAATGTGTTATAAAACCATCTAGAGCCAAATACGACATAAACTATGTAATTTAGAAAAGTTTAAGTGCACTTTCTTTGTACAAGTCTTAACGGACTACCACATAGAAAATCTGGCAATTAATTAAAATGAAATTAAATAGAGACTTGCAAGCCTTTTGGTCATTATGTAAGTATTAAAACTGCCAACTGAAAAATAAAAGGTTACATATATACCATATAAATGGTGAAAGACGCACTGTAAAATTGTGTGAATGAAACAATCAATCATACCAGACAAAGATCTTTCAGGCACTTGCATTCAGAAATAGTCCTTTATAAATAAGCAATGTAGTTTCACTTCAAAAAATAAAGCTGATTTTCCCCAACTGCACCTATTAGTTGAGAACTATATCATATATTAGGGATGCATTTAAATGGACCACTTTATGGGAAAAATCAACTAAACTTTAAAAAACATGAGTCCACCTATTTATTCACAACTTTAAAAATACAGAGAATTCCAGTGAGGCACAGATGGGGCCCTAGCAAAACACTCTACCATTCAATATAACCAACACAGTAGAACATGATACGACGACAAAAAGCAAAACCCATGATGTGGCAATACTATACAGAAGGGGCCCTGTCAGAAGTTTCTTTCACGAAACAAACACAACACCATGAAACAAAGCAACAAAAAAGAAAAGCTGGATTCTGACAACCCTACACAAACTGTGGGATTTCATCTTCAAGGTCTTCAAACTGCTGCATTCGTTTTAGCCTTGGTCTCTGACACGCCGGGGGCACGTCGGGCAAGTCCCGCTGCTCAGCGTGCTCTTTCGGCTTCCCGGTGGGCTGCGTGGAGGCAGCGGGCGCAGTTTCAGAGTCAGGACCTGTTTTTAGCAGGTGTCCCTGGGGGGCGGGGGCTGGGCCAGGGGGTGGTGCTGGGGAGGGTGCTGTGGGTTTCTCCTCATCCCCTCGCACACCACCCACGGGAGCACGCGGTTTGTAAAATGTTGTCCAGTGCTGGGGCTGCAGTGTTCTGGGTGCTCTGACAGGAGCGGGAGGGCAGGAGTCAGAGGACCGTCTCTCGGACACCTGTCTCGCTGCCCTGGCTGGTTCTGAGTATGGCTTACTGGGCTGCGGGACACTGGCTGGGTGGTCCCCACCAATCCTGATGCTCGTGGTTCCTCCTCTTTCCTGGAGTGCGTTGGGCCCAGTTACTACGGTCTTTGCACTGAGGCCGTTTTGTTCAAACTGTTTCTCCCGTGGTTTTTGTAGAGTTTGCTGGTCAAAGCCATCCAATTTAGAATAGACAATAGTAGGAGTATCTTTCCTATTAACTCCTTCAAAGGCAGGATTCCTGCAAAACTTGTCTGAATTTACATTTCCCATATTTCTGACATTTCTCTCATTTGGAGGGCTTGCGAGAAGTAGTAGTCTATCTACAGGCAAACTTGCAGGCCTAACCTTGGTCCTTGGAACGTGCCTCTCAACACTGTTTGTTTCCCTATCTGATTTCAGAATAAGTAGCTTAGAAGTTTTATAGACATCTTCCATCTTTTGTGATACTGATTCAGGTTCTTGGTCTGCAAGCAAACCCACTTTGTTGTCTAAAAAAGGAAAAGATTTATTTAAAAATCTAACTTCATAGCATGTGGCTAACAAGAGTCTTATATATTCTTTCAAGTTATTCTGTTATCTATGCAGAGAAGTTAAATGCTCATAAAGTACTAAAGGTGCACTTGAAATAAAAATGTTAGAATTTTATATTTATTTAAATCAATATAATAAACAGCTACAAAATCCACTGCAGGTTGGTAAGAAAAAATTTGCTGAAATAACTTTTCCCAAAAAAATGTGCTGCATGTAAACAAGTATGTGTGAGGTGAAAGGAGTGTCACAATTTCAGTAGGTATTGGTAAATCAACCTCAGAAAAGCTACACCAATTTACACACCAACCAAATGCAGGTATGCCCTCAGTCCCAAGGCTCTTGCCAACTCAGTCTATCTGCTATTTTCAGTTACGTTCAACCCACAGTGAGAACATATCCTATTAAATGCCTTAGATGCCTTCTTACCTGATCAACTAATAAACGTGCTGTAACGTTCATCCTGTCCAATCCAGGATGAATGGTTCTGTTTTCAGTAAAGAACACCATTCTCCCCATGGATTGTCGACTCCCAGGCTTCCTTTCTTCTCTTTCCTCTCAAGCCTGGACCCATGGTCCAGGCTTTCTGAAGCTAGAACCCTGAGCTCCTTCAAACCTTGTCCCTTTGTGCAGTGTCTCCCCTAAAAAAAATCTCATTTCTGGAAAATGCTAGCCCTCTGCTCAGGCTCCCCTCTCCTGTTGGAAAACATCCAACATGTGTGTGCCTCGGCCCCGTCCTGGTTTGGAACTTGAGCTGCCCCGAGCACAGCATGCAGTCCTTCTCCCTGTTGCCGGGTCCCTGTCCCACAGCTTTGGGCAGAGGTCTGCAGACAGGAGGCCATCAGAACCACCTGTCAGTCTTCATTTCCTCTGACCTTCTTCCTCACCTGACCCCGTGGGCCTCTCTCCCCTGGGCTTCCAGGGCGACGCTCTCTGGGTTAGCTTTCCCGGGTCCTTCCCCGCACGTGTGGACCACTCTATGGAACTGACTGGTTGTGGTCGGGCGACAGCCCCCAACCAAAGCACATCCCTAAGCTTCCGAGGGTCACACTCCTAGTGGAATGGGTAAGAGCGCAGAGTCGGAAGCCCGATCGCTGGGTGTAGCTCAGTTCTACCACTTTTGCACTGGGTGAGGCAATGTCACTGTGCATCTGTCAAAAAACATCCCAGCTGTTTCTGGATGATGTGTGGCCTAAATGGTCTAACCATGGAAAGTGCTCACAGTTATCTGGTATATAACAGGCTCTCAAAAAAATGACACTTATTATATTTAACTGCTGTCAAGAGTATTCAGCTATGAGTCGAATGGGGCTGATACTACTGACTTTATAGCACAGAACTCTTATGAAGATCAAATCAGATAAATGAAAAAACAAACAAACAAACAAACAAACACAGTGCTTAGCACTGAGCAAGTAGATGGTTACAGGAATGCTAGCTCCCTTACTTTTTAGATCCTGTCAGGTTATGACCACTGATACAGGACTACACATCAAACTTAATATATATCATGACATTTTTAAAAATTGGAATTTAGCTCTAATGATATGTAGCATTAGTAACATATGGAAACCTTTTTGCCAGCATGACAGCTACTAATCATTTCAACTAAAATTATCATACAGTGAATAAAATGCAGTCAAGAAGCTACAACAGACATATTTGTGCTTAATGTGTGAAAGGTGACAGGTAAAAAGCATCTGAAAAAAAGTGTTAGGAGTTTTAGGAGTCTAAATTTTTTTAATTTAAGGGGCCTAATTGACTTGTTATGAGCAGTTAGGTCAATACAATGATTCATAGTAACAGATTGTATGATAATTCATACTGCTGAACACATTTTTGCCTTGACTTTAATTGATGGCAAAAATGAAAAAGAGTTTTTTTCAGAAAGACGACAAAAATACCTATGAATTCCAAGGTGTCTTTTTATAAGAAAAATTATTGTAAAGAATGACATTCATAAATGTAAGGTACAGTAAACAGCAATTTTTTAATGGCCAGTAAAGATCCATTTACTAATGAAGCTTCTCTCTCTGGTTTCTCTCAACTTCACTCATTTTAACTTTTAGGTAAGGTTTACCGGCACAGTTTTAAGTCAGCAAACATGTATTTTACATGGCCACTTACCAATGAGACATGTATCACATTTTTCTAATATATTTTGCTTTCGTTCCAATTCCTCAAATGATGTAGCTGGCTCAAAAATTTTGGTTTCACTATCCACAGTATGCATATCCTGTTGATAGAGGAGAATTTTTAAGTTTGAAGAAGTAAAACACCTCAATTTGAAGATTTTTAGCTCACTAACAAACATTACAAAGGTCAAAACTCACTTCTTTTGAAGAGAAAAATAGTGACTTTGTAGGATGTTCTGGGTCTCTTTCTTCTGGTGATAATAGGGGCTTTGGAAGACACCCTTGATCAATGTGAGGTGCCACACCACCTGTACTACACACGACTACATCTTGTGGCTTCAGGGACCCATCGAAGATCTTCTGTGAGTAAGTGATGAGGAACTCTACCAACCGTGCTTGGTTTGAGTATTCAGCAAGAGAGGAGATGGTGACAGGAGCTGTTGTGGGCCTCGGCCTAATGAGACTTGGTCCAAATATCACCCCCAAGTTTTTGGAGTTCATTTTGTTTTCTTCTGCGTGATCTACAACTCTGGAAAGTAGAAAACATAAAGCCATATAAGATTTGCCTATTAGATTTCCCTGGTGGTAGTTTACTATGGGTTGGGAAGGGTGGAGGAAAAATGGGTTGTAGAATTCTAGAGAAAGGATATATTTGTTTGATTAGATATTGACCACATAATGAATTGAGTTTCACAGTATTAGGATACAATTTAAGTAAATAGAAGGAACTACTAAAGTTTCATCAGCAGAAAAACAGAAGCAAAAAACAAGGAGCTGCTCCTATCTTAGTACATATAGCACATCCTTCCAGGTACTTATGCTGGAAACTGAAACATCAATGTCGATTTCTCTCTCATTGCCACCGCTAGTCTTCAAGTCAAGCTTATTCTGCCTCCTAAAGATCTTTCTGCTCGATTGCCACTCCCAATGCTCTGGCCTTACTTCAAGCTCTCCACCCCTTTTATTTCTATGACTACCTAAGAAGTTCTGAATTGCAGTAAAGGAGCCCCTCCAACCCATTCTCCATATTGCTGCCAGAAAGATGTAACAAGCAAATCTAAACATGTTAAATTCCTGGCTCAAAATTCTTTAGTGGGTACAGAAGGAAGACAGTCAACTCCTCTGGCAGATATGTATGACCCTCCTTATCAAACTTCTGCTGAGCTCACTTCAAGCTACTGCTTGCTATGTCCTAGCCTACCCAAACTACCTATACTTCCCCAAAGCAAAATTATCTCATGTCTCTGTGTCTGTTACCCTCTACCTGGAATGCTCTTTTGCACATTGTCACCAAGCCACCAGCTAGTTTTCCGAATCTGGCTCAGGCTACCTTCTCTGATTCATGATCCCTCCAACCCCTCATCTTCCTCTGCATGTCAGGCTGCCTCTGGTAGAAGAGGAATGATGCTGCACTGCACTTGTCTGCAGGTCCACCCTCAAGCTGACAAGCACCATGGGTGACCGAAACCTTACATTTGCATCATTATTTCCCCAGCCAGAGCATGGCACAGAAGAGGCATCTGAGGGGAAGATGTTAGCTGCGAGAATATAATATTCAAGGTCTCCTTTTCCCTAACACATATTAGAAATAAAACATTCATTTTAAAATATGACAATATCAATGTACTTAATACTACTGAACTGTACACTTAAAGTGGTTAAATGGGAGCGCCTGGGAGGTGCAGTTGGTTAAGTATCCAGCTCTCGGTTTTGGCTCTGTCATGATCTCAGGGTTGTGGGACTAAACTCCGTATCAGGCTCCACGCTCAGCACGGAGTCTGCTTGGGAATTCTCTCTCCCTCTGCTCCTCCCCCCACCCACTCTTTAAATAAATCTTTAAAAAATAATTTTAAAAAATGGGTAAGATGATAAATTTATATTATGTGTATTTTATCACAATTTAAAAAAATCAAAAAAGCAAAACAAAAAAAACAATTATCCACCCACTAATGAATGCTTATTTAAAATTCTTACCGCTTAAGATGAACTATGAGGTAATGAAGACTATTAAAATTTGATACTGGCAGTTGTCTTAGAAGGTCTTTGCTTTTTATAAGAATTCTGTTTATTTCTATACATGTACTCGGCCATTTTTTGTCCTCAGGGTTATCCTTTTTTGACTCCTGTTCTTCATTTACATGTTGGATCTCTTTTGCAAGGTCTATAAATTCCTTGTACAAGCGGAATAAAATGAATGGCTCTGGGAGCTAAAGAAATAAAATCACATTAGGAATATCAATCTGTCCATTTTTACCCTGTTAATAATTTAATGAATAGCTTATGGATTTACCATGTCCCTTCAGATTAACAAGATTTAAGGTCAATCCACATTTAGAAATGTACATATATTTGCTGCTGATGTGATCTACAAAGTGAATCTGACATCATCACCAAATTATATCTGTATTAAAAATGAGGTAAATGATAATAAAATGTTTTAAAATTTAAGACTGCATGATGGGATTTTAAAACCCTGCCCTATATCCTATACCAATTACATTCATGAGTTAGTATGATCTTCAACTATTTTATTAAAATAAGCCCAATCATATTAATCAGAAAAAGCTTCTATTCTGAATTTTACTGGTATGGGGTAGGCAGAGAACAAAATACTATAGGGTCCCTGTGTTTTACTTTGGCCAGAGTAAAGATTAGCATAAGACAATATAACTTATACGAGAGACACTGTCAACACTTATCTAATTTTTAAATACAACTCGAATTGCCCTAAGTATGTTAAAGAAAAAGTTCCTCTCTTACCAAGGGCAATGCCACCTTGATCTCTCTACTGCCTTCAGTGATTTCAATGTTTCCACTTTGAATGGAAACAGTGGAACCCTGGCTAGCTGGTGTCCTGTATTATCTATGGTGAGGTAGGCGCCCACTTCTCCAGTTTCAGAGAAGGGAAACCTTGAGATTAATTTCTGCCTCTACTAACTCTGGGATCTGAAGGAGTTCACTCAACCTCTTGAGGCTTCAGATTTCCCATATATGAGTAAAATGAAGGCCACTCTCTAGTACTATAAGAACTGAGCATGGCTCCCCACTCTAAAGTGTTTGTCTCCTAGTATTTTTTTTTTTTTACAGATTTTATTTATTTATTCATGGGAGACACATGGAGAGAGAGAGAGAGGCAGAGACACAGGCAGAGGAAGAAGCAGGCTCCATCCCAGGAGCCCGACATGGGACTCGATCCCGGGTCTCCAGGATCACGCCCTGGGCCAGAGGTGGCATTAAACTGCTGAGCCACCCAGGCTACCCTGTCTCCTAGTATTCTTGAGATGGAATAGTATTGGACCCCATTTATTTCCTTTCCCTGACTGCCTAGAAGAGACAAAGAATGATTCACTGTGAGATTAACATTCAGAGGTACTTTGTCTCCATTTCTCAGCTGAGAATTCTGCAAAATGTGAAAACCTGTAAAGAAACAAGTTTCCTGGGCTAACATGGAGGATCCAACATTTGTACCTAGTTTCCTTCCCTTTGGCAACCACACTGAAACACAGTTAAGCCTACCAGACTAGGAGAGTAGCAATGGTTATAAAAGCAACATTTTACTGCTGAAGAGCAGATAAATAAGTAACAATTTAGTAGTCCAGAGAAAGCTGAAATTCCAAGATGAGAACCAACACAATCTATAGGAGACCCAGGGACTGTTAGCACTAGGTACTCTGATCCTGGAGGACTGTGGGTTATTTAAGAAGTATTAGATCTCCAGACCCCATCTCCATTCCATGCTTCTGAGCAACTTCTACCCTAGAAGTGTGGGGATTTCTTCTCTGTACCATGTATGAGAGAGGGCCTCTGGATGGGCAATGTCAAGCACAAACAGGTGGGCAACTACCTAAAAAATAGGGATTTAGTCACTGTATGCATGCTTAGTCACAGATCCTGGAGTCTTCTTACCCAATGTGGCTCACAGAGTTCTGGCATCACACCTATAGGCAGGGAAAGATCATTCTCTGGGTATCTGCCAAGCCTCAGAGCAGAGACCTAGAGATACAGACAGCAGGTGTTTCCCAAATAGCCCTCTGAGATCACACTAAAGCTCAGAATCTTTAAAACCTTCATGTATTCAAAAGCTTCCAGAGATTTCAATTCCCAACTCTTTCATTTTATGCAGACAACCATGAAACACTGAAATAAAAATAAATGGAAACAAAACCAACTGAAAGTCTAGAGCTGTGCTGACAATATGGTAAGTCACTGGTCACATATGGCTACTGAGCACTTGAAATGTGGCCATTTCAAACTGACATGTGCTCTAAATGAAAAATACACACCAGATTTCAAAACCTCCTTTCAAACAAAACCAAAACACAAAAACAAAAATATCCCACTAATAATTTAAAAATATTGACTAGATATTCAGATGATATTTCAGTATGTTAAATATTAACGTCACCTGTTTCTTTTTATGTGGCTCCTGGAGAATTTAACATTATATACAGGGCTCACATATTCCTATTGAAAAGTGTAAGAAGCTAAAAGGATTCTTTGCTTAGAAAAAAGTGATGAATATCTCAGATATATAGGATATTACATTCATTAAAAAAGGATGCTGTAATAGGAACAGAGAACCAAATTCTTGGAAATTGAAATATCTCAGAAATGGAAATAGATTACGGTACATGTAGAAGATAAAACTAAGGAAATCTCAGGGCGCCTGGGTGGCTCAGTCAGTCAGTTAAGTGTCCAACTCTTGGTTTCAGCTTAGGTCATGATCTTGCAGATGTGGGGTTTGAATCCCATATTGGGCCCCATGCTGGGCATGGAGCCTACTTACAAAAACAAAATAAAACAATACCAACTGAGGAAATCTCTTAGAAAACCATTAAAAGAAAACGAAACAAAATGAGTAATAGACAAAAGATGAGGGAACTAGAGAACCAGTACAAGCTCCCCGGTACACACATTTCCAGAAAGAAAATACAGAGAAAGTAGAGAGGAGGAAATGAGCAACAAAATAAAAGCTCTAAGAACAGAAGGCCAAGGAGGACAGTGCTTGTGGAGTATCTGAAATGACAGATGAGAATACACCCACATCAACACATACACTGTGAAATTTTAAAACAATGGGGTTCTTGAGAAAAAAAAAGATTCTTTAAGCTTTCAGAGAGCAAACAATAGGCCTCATCACACAAAGAGTCAGAAATGGGAAAGAATTCACACTTCAAAGAGAACAGTAAAAAATGCCTTCAAAATTCTCAAGAAAAATAATTTCCAGCCTACAATACCATAACCTTCCACAGTAGCCACACTCTTCCATCCCATTGAAGAGAGTAGAATAAAGACATTTACAGATAAATAAATTTACTCTTACTCCACCTTGCTCAAGGATGGTCACAACCAAAACAGGAACATAAACCAGATGGGAAGACATGACACAGAAGACAGGTGTTTCCTCAGAAGAAAAAAGACAGTGGGGAAGGGAGAGCCCAGGATGACAGCTATTCACAATATTAAAAAGGATCCAGATGCTGAACAGGACTCCAGAGATGGACATGTTGAGGATCATTAATGCTCTGCTCTCTGTGACTGTCTCTTCATTTTAACCCAAGGACAGAATGCAGCTGGGCTTGACCCAGATATTTTCTGTATTTGGTTCAGCAGGGCAATGTTCTGACTGTTCCTGCAACCCACCCAGGAGCTGTTGCCTAAAACCACTAGGGCTGATTACTGCTTCACCCCACAGCAGTGGGTTTTTTTTGGATCTACTCCTTTAAAGTCCCAGGTACAACAGTGCATACAGAAAGAGAAAATACAGAGCAGCCCACTCCTGATCATATTCCACTGAATTTCCAGTACCCAGCTTACACAAAAGCCCTGGAGGATGCCCCAAATTTCATGATCTCAGGATGCATTCATGATCCTACCCACTGACCTCCCACAATAGCTGTATTTGAATATCACTGAAGGTAAAACTGGACTATGACTCAGACACTGTTCAATTTACTGAATCCTTCACTAATGGTGTGAATAATGGCCTTTTGGTACATAGCTAGATTGATGCTTTCCTCTCACCTAAAACTTAACGATACATTGTTTAGGAACATACAACAGGTATTAAAACTATTAAGAAAATAGAAGGAGGTATTAACATGGTTAGAAAAGATCACAGGGGCAGCCTGGGTGGCTCAGCGGTTTAGTGCCGCCTTTGGCCCAGGGCGTGATCCTGGAGATCTGGGATCGAGTCCCGTCGGGCTCCCTGCATGGAGCCTGCTTCTCCCTCTGCCTGTGTCTCTGCCTTTCTGTGTGTGTGTGTGTCTCTCATGAATAAATAAAATCTTAAAAAAAAAAAAAAGATCACTGGGGTGGAGTTGAGAGCTCTAATTGGAGAAGGGCACATGGGAGCCTACAATAAAGTAATGGAATGTTCTACTTCCTTAAGCTATGTGTGGGAAATGAGTGTTTTTATTATTATTGCTATTTAAACTATACACGTATTTCATATATTCTTTGATCTGCAACAACAATTAGAGATATACTGATGTGGTCTATGTCAATGAAAATATATCTGTAGCAAATGTTATCAGCAAAATACAGATCGTATTTTTTGCTCTCTTCTATTTAATGGTATGTAACAAGAGTAAAAACTTTACCTGTCGAAGGTATAATTTCAAGACATCACAGATGTCATGTGAACTAAATTCTGAAATGTCTACCAAGTGCATTCCATTTTCCAAGGCTTGACACAGCTTTTCAGTTTTTATTTTGTTTCCACATACACGATAAATTCCCTTGAGAAGAAAATGGAAAAATTTGGCAAAATTCTCCTTTAGTACAAATGGCTAAATGCAGACATCTACATATATCTGATGTATCTACTTCAATTTTTGTTAATAATTTAGAAAAAACTAGGGCCAAATGAGGTAATATTTTAAAAAATCTGAATAAATTCAGTTACTTATTAAAAACTTAGAGCATTGTCTCATCATTAGAACAAATCACACAGGCATTTGTATTTTTAAACTTAATTTTAAGAGTTAAAATGTACCTGTAGACACAAAGCTCTATTTTCAATCTCTGAGGCACATATTTTGAGTATAAACGGGATGCCATCTGGTTCCTTTTTTGCAACTTGTGTGAATTCTGCTCCAAATAAGTGTATTTTCCCCGGAAGTTTCTGATGACCACAAATGATGACTAAATTTTCCAAACACTTTCGGTGACAAACAAGGAGACACTATAAAAAAATGACAGTTAAAAAATGGTTTACTCACTTTAAAACTATGAACAACTGAGCAAACTATAGGTAGACTGGTAACAGAACAAAAATGGTTTTAAAAGGGTATTACTTGTGTCTGAAATACACTCAATAGAGAAATGAAATATAAAATTACACTGTGGTTCAGTTTATTAAAAATATATTTGTAAGAGAGCCTAATCAATAAAATAAGTAATAAAAAATATAAAGCAAAAAGCATGAAGGAGTTAATGTAATTCCAGAAAGGTCTTACCTCTTCACATTCGACACCCTGGAATACTACAATGCCTTCACAATCCCTACATTTTGTCGGAGACCTCAATTTTCGAAACTTGTGAGTGAGAGCTGCTTTTGACATCAATGTTTTCTTAAATGTTCCAAGGGAATTGGGTCCTTGCAACAGAAATAAATTAGTATAAGAATTTTAAGATGACATAACAATTATAACACATGACGCTAAATTCTGAAAAATCTTTAGACTTTGTAATCACTAATATGTTACAGAAAGCTATTAGAGTCTGTAACATCAAAATAGGCATCCAATTTATAGATCTTTTACAAAGTACACATTTATCAAACATTTGAGCTATGGAGTAAAAAATCACCATCAAACCAGTAAGATACTTCTAAAATAGCATGGTATAATGTTTTTGATCTCAGCAAATCTACACTGTTATTAATATATTCTTTATAGTGCCTGAGTGTTACAAAGGTGGCATTACATTTAGAGAATGGCCTTACAAAAGCTTCAAAGGACACTAGCTGTATGAGACCAGTGTGTCACTATTATTTGCATTAAAGATATAGCTACTCTTATTTTCTGAATTCATTATAAAATTATAGATAATACTGGCTAGTTCTATTTTTTTTTAATTTTTTTTTAAATTTATTTATGATAGTCACGCAGAAAGAGAGAGAGAGGCAGAGACATAGGCAGAGGGAGAAGCAGGCTCCATGCACCGGGAGCCCGATACGGGATTCGATCCCGGGTCTCCAGGATCGCGCCCTGAGCCAAAGGCAGGCGCCAAACCGCTGTGCCACCCAGGGATCCCACTGCTAGTTCTATATCAATATTCTACCAGAGGTCAGATGTTCCATATTATTCTAATACATAACACCCAAACAGATATAAGGAGTTCTTAAATGTACGAGACTAATTTATATGCGTCTAACTCAAGTCATTAAGGTAACTTGATTTCTCTTTTATATCTGCCAACATCTGTAACTTTCCTTGTCTTCAAGAACATATTTATTTACTTTTCCTGCCTAAATTCTTATACTATTTCTTTTAAAGAAACTTTTTCAGAGTTTCTCATGCATTACAACCCTTTTAACAGATAAGTCACTGTACTAGGTTTATAAAAGATCAAAATAACTAGTCTATTTTTGCACCATGCTAATACATAAAATACAGTAAAGTAGTAGTAGTTCTGCTACTTATTCTTTCATTTTTATTTGTAACATTTCACTATTGTCTTGTCAACCCATATTTGTACATGATTTTTTGGTATATATTAAAGTCATTATCATGTCTTTTCTTTAATACACAGCAAAGTAATTCTTTATATTATTTTTCTAATATCATGCGGTGTTGCTGACTGAAAGGGTGTAGTGGGAACTTGAATCAGATGAGAGCAATACCAGCTTCTGAAGGGGAAGGTGGTTCTCTTTCATCTAGATCATCTGCAGAAGACATGGTTCCACTGGATGGAGTTCGTGGAAGTTTTCGATGAAAGTCTCCTAAAAGAAAATTGTGAATACCATCACCTGACCACTTAGTGTAGAATTTAAGAAATGGATAATGACAATGTTTTTTGAGTAACACAAGTCATATTGTTTTGTTGGCTACGATACAAAAAGCCACTTCCATGCTCAGACTTTGGATATAGGGAATTCTGATACTTATTATTAGGAACAAAAGAGAATATAACTAAACCTGACTTTTCCAAATAAATTTAAAACTGAAGAATCATACATTCCAATGAGACCTCACTGCCAACTTCTGATAGTAGTGTTAGAGATTATATGCTGTATAAGAACAGGGAGTATTTTCTATTCATGTCTTATATCTAATATCTAACAAAGTGACTGGCACAATGGTATTTTCATTAAATGCCTGCTGAATTGAGTCACAAAGAAATGTATACAAAAATAATATACAAAAATCTATGAAGACAGCAATAGCAACAACACATTCATGTTACCAGGAAGATGGGAGAATGGGAACCGAGAATAAAGATCTCTGGCAGGGAGCTGAGCACACAGGACACAAGCTCTGTCAGCAATGGACGCTGTGTGGGCATCAGAGAGGCCAGACTAGGTTTACTGGCTCCCTGCTGATAGTACAAACAGGGCCATACCTATCTAGGTGGAAGATTTCACTTACCTCAAGGCCTTAATGAGCTGAGGGCAAAGAGCTAGAAAAGGTTTTCACAGATGATTTAAACTGACCTCTTTCCCCCAAAAAAGATTCCTCTTCAAAATATGCTGAAGAGGCAGGTGGTCATCTAGTTTTTGCTTTGGACGTGTTCTCAGTGACTGAGAAATCATGGGGTCCCATGTTCCATTTAGAACTACTCTGACTGTAAAATGGCTTCCTTGTATTTCTGAGCAGGAACCTGGCTGCCTAGGAATCCCAGCCTTTGGTCACACTTCTCCCTGAAGGAGCAGATGAGCACTGTCACTTTGATCCCTCCCCAGTCCAGTATGTGAGGATGACTGTCACGTCCCCAAATGTTCCCAGGCTAAGTCTTCACCATTTATCATGTGAATAGTCTTCAAATTTTTGTCTTTATCACATGAAGTTTTATGGGATTCCAAATAATTTAGGCCTTGCTCTAGAATGGATCTTAATTTCTGGGGACAGTGATAACCATCTTGTTTTTACAAATGGTTAAGTATTTAGGCTCACATCTTCAGGGTGTTGCTTGCACAGAGCTAGTTTTAAAGGAGGGCACAAAATAAACCTATAAATCCTAATGCTGCATCGAAGTTATTTCTAACTTTAAATCTCAAAAAACTTATTTATACAAATAAAATTTCTGTAATATGTAGAACACTACTAAAAAATGCCTTGGACTTTTGAGGTAGGTTTAATCTTATAACGTAAATCCACATTGCCAAGGATCCTAGAAAAAGGGCCAGGAAGAACAAGACTGAAACAGTCTTTGGTAGAAGAATGAGGGGGAAGGAATCTCTAAGGAAGAATCTCATGGGTTTTAAGTAATAATGTTGGGTTCAAATGCTACCTTCTCTTCCTGCTAGCTGTATTACCTACAGCAAGTTATCCTTTTTGAAGCCACTAAGGAAAGTTCAACACATCTATCCTGCCTCTCTAAGGAGCATGGGACTCTCTTTATCAAAATACCTTTTAAGGTACATTTGTGAAAACTAAGTAATCACAGGCACAAAGTTGGTATTAACTGTTTTGTTCACCACAGCAATTAACAATGAAACAATCTCAAAGATATACTTATGTTTACAGAATACTATATAGAATATAGTATAAAATACAGACATATAAAGACAGCTGTTCACATCATTATGGATCTAAAAAAAAAAAAGTTAAATAGTATGATTCCATCTGCATAACATTCCAAAGAGGGCAAAGCTCAAGTAGATACAGGTAGTAAAACATTTCATATAGCTAGAGAATGACTAACAAAATTCAGGATGGTGGCTTTGTTCTGGTGGGCAGCAGGGCAAGGTTTTCAAGGGGGTCACAGGGTCTTTGAATATACTGATAATATTTATTTCTTATAGGCTCGGTGGTAAATATTTGAGGGTTTATCTTATTATTTTTCTTTAAACTGCATGTGTATATGTACATACTCCTCTCTAGGAGACAGTTCACTAAAAAAAAAAAAATAAGGTAGTTAAAATATATCCCCAAAAAGGAATATTTCATTGAATGTTCTCTGCTAGACTTAAATGCTTATGTACCTGGACTTATAGATTCAGAATCCAGAGATCTAGATTCACTGCTTCCTCCAGTGCTCTCAGAGTCACTAAACATCCCAAATGTCCATGACCTTATAAAAGAAGGACCTTTAAGAAAAGAATATTTAAAGTCAAACTTGGCTACAGACGGATTTCATGAGGCGAAGTACTGACATTACATGGAATGAGACAAGTCAAATTTCTTGAACAGTGATCAACAATCGATTTTAAGATAGGCATAGTGGTTACAACTGTGAATAAGGCCTCATGAGATTAGACTTCAAGGCCTGATTTTTAAATTCCAGAGCAGCAACTCATTTAATAATCACATTTAAACAATTTGATCTTTCATGAATTAGTGCTCTCTTTAGGGTGAAAATCTACCTGTTACATCAGCACTATTGGAGCATCTGTCCTCTTCAATCTTACTAGAACTGTCAGGAAGGCGCACTACGTCCTCTAACGAGTCGGTAGGTCTGTATCCAGAAGTGTGGGGACTATTTGTTAATTGTTTATTTACATTCCTAAGAAAAACCCAAATAAAACTCATCATTTAGAAGAATGACTGATAATCAGCCTATTTACTCGATTTTACAGAAAAATCTGTTACTTTAATGAGCAGAGTAATTAAATATTAAAAATAAACCTTATTATATTGTTCAAGTTCTTAAAGGAGATGCGAACAAATTTATTAATCATTTGAACTTATTATAGCCGAAACATGGAAAAGAGTAGCAAAAGCATGGCTAATAAGTCATGTCATGATTAAATTTTTCCAGTATAACCACTATGGTAAATGCAGGTTAAATCTGTGGTCACTCAAAACAGATATGACCGTGATTTGCCATTCTCAAAGGATTTTTAAATCTCAAAGAACTGAGCTCTGTGTCGAAATGAAAAGCTTTACTCTTAAGTGAGTTACATCTGAATATAAAAAAAATTTAGAAAGTTTTAAAGTAAATTCTGCCAATGTTAGAAAAGATACCACCTAATCCCAGATAGGAACTTAGCAATAAAGGTTTTATCTTTGAAATAATTTCATTAATTCTTACCCATCAACTTTTTCTTCTTCTGTTGAATTTGTGGCCTTGACAAACTCACTGTACTCTTGGCCTGGGTCATAGAGTTTAGCGCTATCACAGAGAGATTGTAAATTGTCTGCAAGGGAGGCTGCCTGTAAGTGTTGCATCTGGAAGAGGTTAACCGTTACCTATGATCACAGAAACAAAACGTAAAATAACTTATGCTATATGGAATGCTATATAAATATACATTTATTTCAAGTACTAGCACCAGGGAAAAGGCCATACTGTGAAACATGTAACACTGAATGTCATTGAGAGCATACTACATTGCCTGACTCTGTGCAAGGTGTGAAGCAGGAAGCAAAAAAAAACCCAAAACAGTTATAATCCGGTATCTTGGAGTAATCATTGCCAGCCAAACTGGCTTTAAACTGAAAAGTTCAAAAATACATCCCCACGTCCCTACTGGTTCATCATTTTAGGAGACAGATGTGTTTTTGAGGATCCCCACCTCTTGTACTCTGATGGTCTGACCACAATGGTCTAAACTCCTAAGTGAAAAACATAAAGGAAAAAGCTTCAAATAGAGCACAATTATTATGACTTTTATTTTTTTCAATCCTATGGAAGTAAAAATGCTTTATAATTATAATGTATCCTATAGTACTCAACTTTGATAATTAGGCATTATCTTGAATCTATCCAAAATGTATTATCCCACTGAGTTTCTACAAATGCCTAGATATACTATTATTCCTACTACTGGTAGTAACAGTAACAATAGCAGCTGACAAGTACCTACAACTTGCCAAACCCAATCTGAGAGCCACATATGAATGAACTAATTTAGTGTTCCTAAAGACCTAGGCTTTGGGTATCCTAGGTCCTCATAGAGTTTATGTTCTGCTGAAGGTGGTGTCAGAGAGAGGGAAAATAAATTTTGTAAATAAGATAATTTCTGGTATTGAAAACTTCTGTAAATACTATAGTATTTATTTATGTTAAGTTCTGGACTGTGACCCGGTATACATTTGCACTTTTGATATGGTAGGTCAGTGAAGCCTCCCTAAGGTGACACCATCTGAACTCAGCCCTGACAGAAGAAAGAGCCAATGCGAAGTTTCAGAGAGAAGTGCAATCCAGGCAAAAGGGAGAGGCAGTGCAGAGACCTCAGAGCAAAAGTGAGGGAGAGAGCTGCCATGCTCAAGAGACGCTTGAAAGGTCAATACAGCTGAAGCACATCTGAAGAGGTGAAACTTTAGTTTGAGAGGATGCCAGAAAGAAACAGTCAACTAAACTACCGTGAGGAGTCTGTAAGAAGTCTGGATTTAAGCACAATGGGAAGCCAGTAGAGGGTTTTAAACGGTGTTAAGAGCTATCACATAATCTGATTTGTTTTTTTAAATGTCACTCTGGCTTGTGAGGTGAGGAATGTGATTAAATGCCAAATTTCAATTGGCTTAATATATTTTTTTTATAGAGCTTCTTTTTTTTTTTTAAGATTTTATTTATTTATCCATGAAAGGAAGAGAGAGAGGCAGAGACACAGGCGGAGGGAGAAGCAGGCTCCACGCAGGGAGCCCGATGTGGGACTCGATCCCCGGGGACTCCAGGATCACACCCTGGGCTGAAGGCAGGTGCTAAACCACTGAGCCACCCAGGGATCCCCAATTGGCTTAATATTATTTCAAAACTGCCATGTTTCCTCTTGATCTCTCTTGGAACACCAGATGATAATGCTGAACTTCTGATTAGCCTCTAAATCCTTTCCAAGTAGACAGCCATTCCCCAAGGATAACTAAAACTCAGCATAAATAGTATTGAAAAGTGCACATAGTAGAATAGCTTGTGGTCTAACTCTCTCAAGGAACAAAGGAAGTTCAAACTGTGGATGGTAAAGTTTAAGTCCTGCAACTGGTTATGATGAGAAAATTCACCAGCTAATGGTAAAATGAACTTACTCTCATTATCCTAAAAGGTAACTGTACATTTTTATACCTTTTAATAAAGCTCTATGAATCTACTTAAAAACACCAATAATTTAAGAAGCCAAATGAATATACTAGCATAATCAATTCATCTGCTGAATGTTTCTGTATTTATTAATAATAAAGACTTTAGCAATAATATATATGGATAGTCCAATCTTAAAATCTGTTTTCCCTAAATTACTCAGCCTTCTCACTTACCTAACAGAAATTCTAATGAGTGAGCTCCCCATGGGGGTAGATTATGCAGGACTTGCTGAGCATCTTAACTGGGGTGGCTCACAGGTATCTCAAAAATCATCACACTTCTAGATTTTTTTGTGCTCGAATCTGCTCCCAGAGTTAGAAACTTAAGACTTTTCTTTTAGGTCCTCTATTTAGCACAGTGACCTAGGTGCCTTGTAAAGGGGAAATGACTAAATGAATAGTAACAGAAATGTGATTAGCCAAGGTCATACTGTAATTCTGTTCGTTTTCTGTGACTGCTCATGCAAGCAACACAGGACTTCTGACTCTATGCCCGGCTTTCAGCATGTACAGCAAATTTTTAGTTACTCCACGGGCACATGGATTAGTGCAAATATTTATGACAGCTGTTCAACAGAATATTCCTTAATTTCAAATAATGGGAAAAGTTCCTTTCATATAAATTAGCAATAATGTAAAATAAATTTTGTTCAGTGTAATTCTCTATCCTTTTTTTTTTTTAAGAATTTACTTATTTGACAGAGAAGAGAGAGCACAAGCAGGGGGAGTGGCAGGCAAGGGGAGAGGGAGAAGCAGACTCCCCACTGAGCAGGGAATCTAATGTGGGGCTGGATCCCAGGACCCTCGGATCATGTCCTGAGCCAAGGCAGATGCTTAACTGATTAAGCCACCCAGGTGCCCCTCTATCCTGTATTTTTTTAAAGATAAATTTTTCTTGAATATATTTTAAAACAAAACAAAACTCTTGCTCTAATTCTTCCTATTCTTCAAAGCCCCATTGATTTGGTTAGGTCTTTAGTGACTGGTCTGGTCATTTCTTCTTCCTCTTGGTAATGTAATTATGATCTTTATCCCATACTCTTTAGTGCTTCATAATTCAAGACAATTTTAGATATTCAGAAGTAATCTTTGATGTCCATGATATAACTTACAATTTTGCTAGGACATAAATGTGATTTGTGTATCTTTCCTAAGATAATGAGCGACCCTGAGTGTCTAGAGTCTATCTCAAATAATTTTGTTTTCTCTGCAATCACATATGTGATATGTCCTAGAATGAAAATAAAATTTTTTAAAAAGAATTTGAGATGGTGTTTAAAAATAAGTTCCAAAACCCCCAAGTTCTGCTTTGAAGGAGATGAAAACATAAAGAGGGGCACCTGGGTGGCTCAGTGAGTTAAGCATTTGCCTTTGGCTCAGGTCATGATCCCAGGGTCTTGGATCAAGCCCTGCATCAAGCCCTACATTACGTTCCCTTCTCAGTGGGAAGTCTGCTTCTCCCTCTCTCTCTGCCCCTCCCCATTGCTCGTGGTTACCGTCTCTCTCAAACAAATAAATAAAATCTTAAAAAAAAAATCTCCTTGAGAGCAGATATCTGTCTTACATTTCTTTTATTTACAAAGTGGGCATTAATAAATACTTATATATTATATACAAAATTAAGTAATTCTTATTTATATCACATCATACTAAAGGAAATCATAATTACTGGATCACCAAACAGCATTTATCTGAGAAAGTCATGGTTTTTACCTAGAAAATATTATCCATATTCAATAACTGAGCATTGGATTTGGTATCTGCTTGGATTTGCAAGTGAATAAATGCTAGACAGAACAATTAAAATTGATTAATTGGTTCAAAAGAACTCTAGCTAATAAGTTTATTCACAAATATATACACAGAACACCTCTATTAATTGTCTCTATACATTACATGCTGTAGAGATTTTCCTAAGTTTAGGGGTTTGTCCAAGTTTGAGGGACTTTAACCTCAAAATCTACTTCATACACTGTTAAGTATTGCTCTCCAATTTTTCAGATGTGCTAATTCTCTCTTCTTAAATATATGCTAAACTCCTTGAGAGCAGGTATCTGTCTTACATTTCTTTTATTTACAAAGTGGGCATTAATAAATACTTATATATTATATACAAAATTAAGTAATTCTTATTTATATCACATCATACTAAAGGAAATCATAATTATTGGATCACCAAACAGCATCATTTTTTAAGAGGTATGTAAACAAACAAGATTATACCTTGTAAGAGAGCTTAAAACCACATTATTTAAAAAAAGAATCAAAATTTAGAAATGTTTAGTCTGGAAAAAAAATCCAGGAAAGGAAGATAACAATAATCTTTAAGTATTTAAAGTGTTATTTTGTATAAGGGGGATTATATGAGTAAGGTATAACTTGAAAGGTCCATAAGAAAACAAATTTTTCTTAGCTCAATTTAAAAATTATATTAATTTTGGAGCTGTCATACCTCGGCTAAATAATCATTCAGCAAGACAGCATAGTATTTAAGAGCACAGGTTCTAAAGTCATTCAACTGAGTTCAATACTAGCTTTACCATGCTGGATGACACTGATCAAGCTATTTGTAACTTCTCTAAGCAAATGCTTCAAAAAAAGTTAATGTGCAAATGAATCTTGTGCGAGATTTTTGTTCAAAATGCAGATTCCGATTCCAAAAGTCTGAGTTGAAAACCATGATTCTGCATTCCTCATAGGCTCCCAATGTAATGAGAATGTGACTGACCCAAGGACCACATTTTGAGAAGAAAGGTTTTCTAAACTTTGGTTTCTTTAACAGTAAGATGGAGCTAAAAAGTTATATTTATCTAATGGGACTGTGTGAGAATTAGATGAGTTAATGTAGGCAAAGAACTTAACACACCAGCAGGTACATACTCAATCTTAGCTATCATTAGCTATTGCCTGAGGTGAAAAGGACTTGTCAGATATAAAAGTTGGCCTAAGTGACTCATAATGTAATTCTGAATCTTGGGGTTTTATAATTCCCCAATTATAAATTATTAATTTAAGTCCTACTAAAATTGACTCTACAAATTAATCACATATTAATCAGAATTTGGTAAATGAATGAGATTCAATTTTAAATATTCAGGAACGTTTTATGGAGAGAGTTTCTGATTCCAATGGAATAGGCTCACTCCTCTCAGTTTCCCACTGAATTCTCA